CACACACACACACACACACACACACACCAAGGGCGGAAGAGAGATCATTTACATGTGCCCACATTGCACATTAGTACTACATCATCCTGACCAGAAGGAAAAGACAGAGCAGGTCCCATAGTTACACGCACTGGCTGGAGGTAGTACATGTAGATACGAGGTTCTCCACATGTATGAGCATGGGTCATAAATGCACATTCACTAGCTGCATATAGCACATACATGAATGTGTCATTGCATCATCACTAACACCAGCAGCAACAAGATAATTCACATAAAAACCTCGACAAACTTGGACAAAGTATACACCCCTTATCACTACGGCATTCATTACTTCAGAAGATTAAACCCTTACAAACACAACATTCCAGTACGCCATTTATCTTGTAGGGCTCTTCCATTGGTAGTGAGATTATGACAGGGGGAAAACACACACACACACACACACACACAAAGAAGCCCCGGGTAACTCCGTCAAAACATTCCACATTATCAAGCCGTCTATCAGCGAACATCATACTGAAAGAATGCCTACAGATGGATCATCCGCTGGATACTGCTCGCAATCTACTTTTATGACCAGAACGTGGTCATTCAGAAAGTAGACTAACTTAACACGCAGATCTAAGATTCACTTCGTGGGAGCAGACTAACTGAATCGAAGGCAGATCTAAGGTCATTACAAAAGTAAACTAGGTAAGAGGCAGATCTGAGGTCATTGCAAAAGAAAGCTAAATAAGAGGCAGATCTGAGGTCATTTCACAAAGAGAAAAACTTAAATTAAAAGTAGATCTAAAGTCATTTCCAAAGTACACTAACTTAAAGAAAGGACCTGCAGTCATTTCAAAACTAGACTACCAAAAGTACGCTAAATAAGAGGCAGATCTGAGGTCATTTCACAAAGAGAAAAACTTAAATTAAAAGTAGATCTACGGTCATTTCCAAAGTACACTAACTTAAAGAAAGGACCTGAAGTCATTTCCAAAGTACACTAACTTAAAGAAAGGACCTGAAGTCATTTCCAAAGTACACTAACTTAAAGAAAGTAGATCTATGGTCTAAGCTTTACCATCACCGTCAGACAGAAAGGCGCACCATCACGCACTCGAATCTCAGATCCTCAGTTAAACACGAGATAGGTACAGCACGGACATGAAGCAGGCTACAGAACCAGATTAGGACAGCAAACGGCTCATTCATCAATGAGATAGGTACAGAGGAGGATTTTTTGGTTCATGATACGACTCAGAAAAAGAGAGGTGGACGAATCATGTTTCCACAACAGAGAATTTTGTTTCCACACCAGAAGATCGAATTATATCCAAAGAAGGTAGACCGATTTGTATGAGCAGATATAGGCTGCAGTATCACAAAGAAGAAGACATATTTCAGACTGAGCTCGGTGAGGCTATGGGCACGTAATTGACCCAATCCCGAACGATTTTCACCAATTAAAGCAGGACGTTGCCAGGAATGCAAAGGAGGGAAGATGATCACGCCGGCCGAAACGCATCCCGCCAAGAGGATTTCAATCAAGTAAGGTGCCCGGATGACATCATCACCACTTGCCTGTCTTCCGCTTCCGCTGTCTTTCCAGAACCCCCTATCAGCTATGGACATAAATAACTCAACATACCCCTCCTGACCCCCCGATCGCGGCCCCCAACACAATAAACACGCTTGCCCCTTCTACGGCTGAATGTTCCAAACCCGAAGACTCAGGT